CTGATCTGCCTGACAGACCAGTCCACCTAGGACTCTGGTAAGTCAGATCCCACCCATTGCATCTCTATTCCATTCCCCTTCAGCCTCAACACTTCCAGTCTACCTCACCCCTACCCTGTCCCCTGCTAGCCTTGGATCCAGGCCCACTCCAATTCCTCCACCTCAGATCTCTGGACTAACTTCCTAACCCAGACTAACTAAACCTCTAGCATGGATTGCTAAGTCTCTAGTCCCCATCCCCACTTCTCTTGGCACCTGTGTTATTTTGGGAATCTCTACGACTGACCTGACCTACAATTTGAAGGGAGGTTGCTCCTGTCTGGCACCATACACTCATGTTCAGATACTGTATGTTTATTTTTCAGTAGATTTTTGAGTCCTTGATGCTCTTTAAATTTTTGTCCATTTTGTCTTTGCAATGTTCACTTGCTCATATGGTAGCTTTTTATAATAAGATATTTAATGAAAATGTTACCGTAGAAAAAAGCCCCTTAAGAGAAATCTGGTCAAGAGAATAAGAATCTCTGGCCTGGGTGGAACCTTAAATATCCAGTTTTTCCAGGTCAATAACCTAGTTGCAGGCCCACCCTAAGAAGGTAGTTTCACCTTAAGTCCTGCCCAAGAGATAGGGGGAATAATTGTGCATTAATGAGATGGTAAACTTTTCCTGTCTGTAATCCCTGCCCCTAATGCAGTGCTTAGGAACCCAGCTGCAAACACATAGCTTTCTGTAAGTCTGCCACTTTGCTCAGGTCTTCAGAAGAGTGTAACCTGTCCTTTTCTTTGTATCTGTTTTCTAACCATGCTTTCCCTAATGCTTTTGGCAGCCTCAACATTTTGGGTTTTGTTACTCTTTATGTAAACTCCCTTCCTCTCCTCACCATGCTGCTGGTGGTCTGACAGGTATTGACCTCCATGACCACTCTAAACAGGCATGGCTTTATGACTTTTTTTGTTTGTTTCTCTGCTCCCTCTGGCTGAGATTTACTGCATACACGCCTGAGGATTTTTCCTTAAATTCTAATAAAACTGTCCTAATGTATCCATTTGCATTCATTCTCAAATTCTTTTATAGAATGAGACTAAGAATCCTGAAAGGTTCCCGTTTTCCCTTGTAGCAAACGTAACAAATAATAAATGAATTAATAAAATGCATAAGAACTATACTGTAGTTGTGTCTTATTTAATTAGATTAGATTCTTGCTATAGTTTGGTGGCTAAGGCTTATAATCTCAGCTACTCTGCAGGTAGGAGGATATTCAAAGGCTTGCCTGGACTGCAAAGTGGTTGAAGTAAAATGGGAGAGAAAGAAAAGGAAAAGGAAGACAGAACTGGGGGTAGAGCACTTGCCTGCTCACTGAGTGCTCCTTGCTTCCATCTTGCTACTGGGAAAAAAATCTTAGAAATTGGGCTGTTGAAATTTGTGATTTCTAATGAAGACTTACCTAAAGATAAATTTAGATTGACCAAAAATTGTAACAGGTAAAGAGGAATGATCTAGAGATCAAGATTGGACATCGAGGAGAAACAAAAAATGGATCACTGTCTGAGCCATGAAAACACTGTATTCTTCAAATCCATGAAAATACCCTTTCACAGTGCCCAACAACTGGACATAAAAAATATCCAGTTTCTCTTTCATGTCTATTCTGAATGGAAGCCTTTGTTGTTGTTATCCTGTCTCCACAGTCCACAGAGCCATATTTAGCCACTCTGAAGATGTGAAAGATTTTTTACTTCTGGGCTGCATGGAATTGCTAGAAGAACTTGGCATTACCCTTCAGATGAGAGTGAGTATGCTTGTTGTGGCTCCCCACAGGCTCATGTGGCTGAACACTTGGTCCTCAGCTAGTGGTGCTGTTTCAGAAAGTTGCATAAATTTAGGAAATGGAACCTTGTGGAGAGAATAAGTCACTGGGGAAGGGGTTGAGGTTTGATAGCTTCACTCCATTTCTGTCTGTTGTCTGTTTCATGACTGTAGACTGTGTGATCAGCTACTTCATTCCTGCTTCCAAACCTTTCCCACCATGATGGGTAGTTTCCCCTCAAACTGAAAGCCAAAAGAAGCCCTTCTTCCCTTAACTTGTTTCTTGTGAGATATTTGGTCATAGAAATGAGAAAAGGTAGGGAAAACATGAGTATGTCGCAGAGTCATTGCCACAGTGATTAAATAAAAAAGCAAATCTCAGTCTCCTTTTGGACATACAGCTACAGTCTTTCTCTTGCAAGTTAGTTGGAGTCGTACAGCTTTTTTTTTCTTTTTGAAGCAGGGTCTCCATGTAGGCCCAGCTGGCCTGGAACTCACTATATAGACTAGGCTGGCCTTGAACTCACAGAGATCCACCTGCCTCTGCCTCCCAAGTGCTGGGAATACAGGTGTGCACCACCACACCTGGCTGTTATATAACTTTCTTTTAACCAATACAATATGGACAGAAATGAAATGTTTTGGGGACTGGAGAGATGGCTCAGTGGTTAAGAACACTGGCTTCTCTTTCAGAGGATCTGAGTTCAATTCCCAGCACCTACATGACAGCTAGCAATCATCTGTAACTCTAGTTCCAGGGGATCCAACACCCTCTTCTGACCTCCATGGACATTACAAGACACAGGTGCACTTACACACATAGGCAATACACTCATACACATAAAATATAATAAAATATTTAAAAAGAAATGATGTTTTCCTTTTTACTAGGTTCATGTACAGTCTTTAACCTTTCCATTTGTCTCAGCCTCAGAGAGCAATGAAAATTGTATGTAAAAGAAAATAGTCTGATTGACCCACACATCTCACCCATAGCCCAGCTGGAATTTGACATATTAATTGCCCACAGTAACACAAAGCAGCATCAAAGGATGTTATCATCCTATCATCTCTTGTCTAGTAGAGATGGCATCTTAGGCTGTATCCTTCACATCCAGGAGCAAGAATCCTCTTTCACTCAGAAGAGGGTTAGTGAGGACAATGGTCTGTGTATGCTCTCCCCCTCTCCTCCTTCCCCCAACCCCTCTTACTGAATGCTATCCAGAGCCTGAGAGAGTTTAACTCCACGCTCTTGTATATTAAGAGCTATGGCTGGTCCCACTTCTCACCTTTCTCACCTTACATTAAGTTTTCATTTTGGGGGAAAAGAATATCTAGAGAGGGAAATGTCTGTTCTTTAATTCAAAATTAATGGAGTATTGTGAACCCACACAACAAAATCCAGGAGAAAACTATCATTAAATACATAATTATCTTGCAGTGATATTGTGCAATAGTTTGCAATTTTGTGGTTTCAAAAACAGTGCAGGCTTTTGAATCACGAGTCAGGCAGCTTTATAATTGAAACTTTGCTCTGGCTTTTACTAGCTCTGTGGCTTGTTTTGCTACTTTAAGCATGGTATTTCATCTCTGAAGTCCTAGTCTCTCCTGAGAAAAATGATAATAACAAAAAGTTACTTGCAAGGTTAATTGAAGAACTGAATAATGTGTTAGGTAAAGGATATGATTCTGAAAACCTCCTGGTTTAAAGAAAACAAAAAATTCTCTAGACCATGAGAAGCAAAATGACCTGTATTTTTAGTCAAGTGTGGTAAATATTTCTCCTCCCACGAATTCACTTCCTTTGTGTGAACTTGAAGGTAAACAGGTCAAGTCCTGAGTCTTGTGGTGAAGTGAGCAAGTCTTGTTCCACACTACTAGACTGTTTTCTTTTTTAACTCTTGCTGTGACTGCTTCACTGAATTTCAGGCGCTCATTCAGTTCCAACTCCCCCATTTCAAGCCAAATCTAGAAGCATCAGTCAATAGCTAATCTACTTACTTGCAATGATTAAACTAAACCAGGATAATTTTGTCCTTCATCAAACTTTTCCATTTATATAAATATAAAATGTTCATGTTGAATTATGCAATGACTCTGATACAGAACATACTACACAGTTGTAGAACTCCAGGTTATGTCCATTGCTTTGATGCCTGCACCAGGACAATGTGAGAAAGCTGCCAAGTAGCAGTGGACTTCAGTCATCCTGCACCACCTTATTCTTTAATGACTTCTGAAAACTCTTAGCTAGAAGAACTACAATTCCTTCATCATCAGCAGGAACCTTTTGGCATGGTGGGTTTCTTTCCAGGCCTCTACCCCCACCCCGCCTTCTCTGACCAAGGGCAGGGTGCCTCAGTCTTATTTCCGCTATCCTTCACCTAATGCTCTCTTCATTCAGCAAAACTCCTTCATGTATATTTCTGATAATTCCATTTGGTTAGGAACATTTTATTTTAATTTGTAATATTCTCGGAAGATCTAAAATTAAAACAAAAAAATGAGAGTTACGACTCTCCCGCCCATCTTCCTCCCTCAATGTGCCACTTCTCCCAAATAGAGGATCCATCATTGTAATTTGTTTCTTATGCACTCTTTAGCTATTCATAGGTAATAATTATAAGCACCAAAGTCATTTCATGATTTTGTCCAAATATACCATTTGGAGATACTACCCAGTACTTTCCCATTTACGCTCTTGTTTTCTTTCATGTTCTTCAGTAGGGAAGGAGACTCCTCATTCTTGTCTTTGGCTGAATTATGCTCTTCTGTGTGAATATGACTTGTACCAACTTCTAGTGTTCCAGCAAATTGTAATAGCAACCCACCAATACCTTCATGAGAGTGGTATTTTTTTCTTAAACCTCAGCCTTTTACCTACTAGGCTAAAATGCCATATTATTTAGCTTTAATCCATATTATTATTATGAGAGTATACCTGTTTTCATATGTTTTTCCTCTGTATTCTGTCCCTTGACAATATTTCTGTTCTATCTCCTGTAACTGAAATGTTCAGTATATGATGCTAGTTTTAAATCTCACTTATTATTATCTCTGCCAATTTCTGATAAACAAGGAAATAACTGGAATGAATTTTCTATGTTGAAGAAGTTTCATTTCATTAGAAACACATTTCATATTTACCTGCCAACTTCTGTGAAAATTTAGCCCTATAAAGAACCAATTATGAGATTTTAATGAATTAATTGTAATTCACAAGCACTTTAAAATGGATAGAACATATAACATGGTATAACAAAATGAAAATAACTGTGGTTAATTTACACAATCCTAAAGCACAGATAAACATACATATACAAACAGAACAGTGTTACTTTATAATAAAAAGAAATAAGGGTGCTCATACACATTCTAGTGCTCTGACACCTATGCTTTTCAAACTTATTGCCAGTTCTTGCTTCACAGTGTTCAAGGGTCTGTTTCTTGTTTGCTCAGCCATCCTGTCAGTCTGAACACAAAGAGCAGACACCTGTTGATTTCTACCTGAACAATGATCCAGGCACAGCTGCTGTACCCATGATTTTCCAAGTAATCATGGATCCTTCTGAAGTATGCTTTAATCTTTAATCTAAGGTTCCTCACACTCAAGGCACCAGTTCTCTCCTCTGCCTCCAGTTCCAGGAGTGATTCTGTGTATTCCAGCTGTTGGTGAAGTACAGTGAGAAATTTCTCTATGTAGTTTTCCTCCCAACTGACTAGAGAAACATTTGCTTGGAAGAGGCTGAAGATTTGTTGAAGAATCTCTTGAATAACTGCAAGTACATGTCCTTTTTGATACTGGTAAGGAGCCACAGACTTCTGAGGAAGCAGGAAATTTTTCCTGTGGGGTAGACACTGCTGGATTGATGAAATTTGCAAATTATTTAGTAGTTGTAAACTTCTTGTGTTCATTCTTGATTGGAAGAGAATCAGTTTCGCTTCTAGGGAGAAGACAGTGGAAGAAGCCAGCAGCACCAACACAATTTCAAGGAGCGGTTTGCAAATCATGGTGAAGGCCAAATGCACTGCCTACCTTTGTGCAGACCTAGTAAAACTCCAGTTCTAGTGAATGTTTGCCTTTCGCGAATCTCAGATTATTCTGGAGAGTATTCTTTTCTGTTGGTTTTGTTTTCTCGTGTTGTCATTTTTCCAAGTTTACATGTTAGGTTTTCTGGTTCACTTTTTTATGGAACATTTCCTCTACTTTTCCCATTGTGTTGACTGTTTAAAAAGTAACTAAAAGATCTGGCACCGCTGTATACTTTTCTTGAGGCAATTAAAGTTATCCAATCTGATCTTCCATTACCCTCACAATTTATTACATGCAAGGTCTCACTTACCACAATGTGCTTTCTGAATGTTTAGTCAGGCCTATTAATGTTCTTTTATTGAGAGTTAACTTTTTAAAGAAGCAACAGTATTCCATAGGGTATTATTTATAAAACCTTAGCAGCACCTACCAGACACTTCAACGTTTGCATTTAAAAGCCATAGTTTGCTAACTTTGAAACTTTGAAATATAAATGTGCATAAATACTTAAGCCAACTAATGTTAAAATATGTGCCAATAATCTTATATTGTTTTTATCTCATCCAATCAGTTTAATATCGAAGATTTTAGCTTACAGAAATAAGATGAAAAAAATTAGCAAAAGAAGGCTATCATTATATTATTTCAATGGAGCATATCAGAACAACCTACAAGTTCAACTGAATTGTTACAAACCTGTTGGTGTTATATAATAAAATGTATGACACTGTAAATGATAAAATGAGAAGAGATTAGAGGCAGTTGATTATTTTCCCTAGGGTAGTGATAACTATGGGTAAACCAATGTAAACATCTCTACATCAGTAATGCCCCATGAATTTTAAAACACTCAGGTCCACATGCTCAGAGCCTCTGGAATGAAAGTCCTAGTCTACCTCTTCAATCTTCTCAGTGTTGCTGCAAGTCCAAATGAAGTAAAAGACCCACCATTGTCTTAACACAGCTAACACTTGCATGTGTGTTTGCTAGTGACTTTCTCTCTCTCTGAAGCAAGGCCTTTGCCTCCTTAAGAACTATGGGCTAGCTCCCCTTCAGGCCCATTCTCCCCCTGTGAATTCTCTCCTGTCTCCACAAGCTACAATCTTATTCTGACGCCCCAAAGTATTTTGTACCTCCTTTCATAGTTTTCTTTTTCTAACTTACATGTGGCATTTTGTTTCCCTATCTTACAACATCACAAGATTAAAGGCCTCTTTTTTAAAAAATTATTTTTATATGTAGGAGTGCTTTGCTTGCATATATGTAAGTTCACCTTGTGTATAGTGCCCATGGAGGTCAGAAGAGGGCACTGGGTCCCCTGGGACTGGAGTTCAGGCTGGTTGTTAACCACCATGTGGGTGCTGAGAATGGAAACTGGTTCCTCTACAAGAGCAGCCAGTACTTTTTAACTGCTGAGCCATCTCTCCAGCCCTAAAAGTCTTTTAAGAATGTAAAATGAGTGAGGTTTTTAAATTGCTTCATAGTAGGTATTAGTAAATATGTGTTGCATGGAATGAAATAATATGTTCTATCATAAAGCAATACAACATATTGAATCTTTGATAATTTCTATAAAGGCAGTTTTGGGGTGAAACTCTAAATGCTGAAAACAAATGCTTTATAAACATGTATTGCCTCATTATATATAGTATCTATCTGGATAATGGGATTTAACTGATCTCAGCACATAATTTTAAGTCTTTAATGCAGAGCTTCAGAGAAACAGCATTAACAATGGGAACAATCAAGTTTTCACATAATTTAATTTTTCTTAGTTAATTTGTCTTTAACAAATAAAATATAATTTTTAGTGGCTTATAACTCATTTTTAGATTTAAATTTAATTCACTTTAAGCTATTATTAGTTTTGAATGCTAAATGTCTCCCATAAGCTCTTACTTTTGAACATTGCTCCCTAGCTGGTGAAGCTGTTTTGAGGAGCTATGGAACCTTCAGAACATGGAGTCTATCCAGTGCACATAGGCCATGGTGGAGCAGGCCTTGAAGTCTATAACCTGGCTCCACTTCCCCCTGCTTTGCTTTCAGTCTGCTAGGATATGATCAAGCTGTGTTGCAAGACCCTGCAAGTGCCACCTCCCCACTACTGTGCCTTTCCTGCCGTCATAGATGGTACACACCAAAACTGTAAGCTAAAATAGACTTTTCTTCCATTTACTTGCGTCTGTCTAAAGTTTTGCCACAGTGAGAAAAATAATCTATCCACAATAAAATATGTATGTTGAGTATTATGTGATATTTCAATACAGTTGTTAAATCACACTAAACAAACCTGTCTTCATGTTTATCATTTCTTTATGGTTAGGACATTTTACCCTTTTGTTTCCTAACCTCTAGCCTATTTTCAATTTCTATGAGTTCAGACTTCTTAGATTCCACTTGTCTTTCTGTACCTGGTTTATTTCAGGTAGCATTAATGATCTCAATTTCCATCCATGTGGACGCTAGAATTTAACTTCTGGTTTTTAAAGATTTTTTTTCCTTTTTAATTATGTGTATATGTTGTCTTTGTCTGTGTGGGGGTTTGAGCACATGTGTGCAAGTGCCCCCAGAGGCCAGAGGAGGGTATTGGATCCCCCTGGAGCTGAAGTTACAGATGTTTGAGAGCCACCTGATATGGATCCTGGGAACTGCACTCTGCTCTTCCATAAGAGCAGTATGTACTCTTAACCACTGAGCCATCTCTTCCATATCCCCTCCCCTTTTTTTAAAGGCTGAATAGTAGTTCCAGTGTGCATGTACCACCTTTCTCTTATTAACTCACCTGCTAATGGACACTTGTTCCCATCCCTTTGCTATTGTAATTCCATAATAAATATGGGAATGCTGATATCTTTTCAATAGACTGATTTCACTTCCTGTAGATATATATCCAGTAGTGAGATTACTGAATCGTATGATAGTTTTGTTTTAAATATTTTGAGGAACACCCTGCTGTTTTCTACTATGATCATATTAATATTGCCACCAAAAGTGTACAAGAATTTTCTTTCATACAAGTTTCTTTCAATTTATAATAATGATATAAAGTTATATTGATTGCTAGATATTTGGGAAATTTCTAGATATCTTTGTGTTATTGATTTCTAATTTAATTCTGTTGTGATTAAAGAGTTCAGTTTCTATTTATTGAGTATTATAGATTATAGTCTATCATGGTGAAATGTTCCTGGTGAACTGGAAAGAATTATGTTTTTATTTTTGTAGTTGGGACTGTTCTATAAATATCAATCAGGTTCCCTGATTAAAAGTGTTGAAATTTAAGAAACAGTGCCAGATGGGAGAAACCTTACTTTGAGTTGTTAGCCAGGTAACAAAAGACTCCCAAAATTACACAGACTATTGCCACAGCCATGTATTGCCTCCCAGAACTTGAAGGTAAGACCCTATTGCTGAAGAGTGGACATACTTTAGACACAGGATTTGGAGCAATGGGACTGGAACTGACTTGGAAGCCACTTCCTCTGAACGCTATTTCTCATAGCCTTGGACTACACTATGCAAGCGGCTAAGAGAGAACATCAACAGACGGTCCAACCCCAGCTTTAAGGCCTAATAACAACATCAGTGACTGGCACAGCAAATGACATTGTTGCAGTAGTGGCACTTTTATCTTGGGGGTCACCAACAGCTACCTAATTGAACTTAAAGCCCACTCAATGGGAGGGAACTCATGTGTGGTACTATAAACATAGCCAAATTCACATGGCTGGAGAGGTCATAGGTCTTAGAGATAATCTTAAGGCTGTCATGTCCCTAGACAAACATGATTTCTTACTATGTGCAAAATATGGATCCTTATATTTACAGACAAGTATCCCAGTTGCCATTCACTAAAGACATTTCTTTTGCAACACACAGAGATTATTACAGAGTTCCACAACTGGTCATACACAGAGATTATCTGTGAATTGTCCAGGCCTAAGTGACACATCTACAATGCAACCTCTATACCTAAGGCTCATGGGACATAGAATAAGGGGTAAAGAGAACACTAGTGCATCTCTCAACTCTCATCAATGGAGCTACTTCATGCAACAGAGGGCCAGGAACACAAAAGGTCACAGATGGCCAAAGCATAGAGAATGTCTGCAGAGTGTGGGTTCTTGGACAGGACTCCTATATTAAACTTTACCCACCCAGCACTCAAGGATCATTGTAGAAAAGGGAGGTAGAAATATTTTAAGAGCCAAGAAGGAGGTGCATGACTATGTGAAAACAGAGTCCTCTAGGCTCCTGAGATCTTGCTACAGCAATAGTGTCAGCATACACAAGACCCATGCAAACTCAAGCAGACAAAACCCAGCACAGAACTGTGGAAATGGGCAGCAGGCCCCAATCTTAGTTGAAGAATTATTGGCAGCTGATTACTGCTGGGTGAGGAAGAGCTTATCTTCTTAAAGGGAGGGACTCTAAATAGGCTGATTAGACCTCAATGGATGAACTTGCACTGAGAGACTTTTGGTAATACTAACTTGACACAATAGGCCTTAACACAAATTATAGAATGCATGAATTCCAGTGGGGGGTATGGAGGGTTCCAATGGGGAAGGGAGTATAAAGATGATTAAGATGCTCCGTATGAAATACACAAAAATTCAATAAAAAATTTCCAAAAATGTTTTGAAATTTTCTATATTTTTCTGATGTTCTATGCCTGTGTTCTATTAAGAAAGAAATGTTAGAAGGGAAATAGACAGAAGGCCCCAACCTTAGCTGAGGAGCTACTGGCAGTTGATCACTGCTGGGTGAGGGAGAGTTGATATTCTTTTAGGGAGTGATGCTAGATAGGCTGAACAGGCACTAGTGGATGAACTCACACTGAGGAACATCTGGGTACACAACTGGAATTGACAAGCCTTAACACCTATTACAGAATTTATGAAATCTGTGGGCAGGCTATGGGTAGGTGCAGATAGGGGAGAGGGTTTAAATATGTTTAAAATTTATTGCATGAAATGCACAAAAACTCAATAGA